CTAGTTTTAAATTACCCCCATGCATTTATCTGTAGGTGACTATGAAATATCAGGTACAATTTCCATAGCATGTTAGCTTCAATACAATAGCCACTTGTAAGAATGCGTTGTGTCAGCTGAACAGTTAAAAAACATGAAGCTACCAGGGGTTATGATGTTGCTGATGGACAATTTTTATTTAAATAGAAGTAAGCAGGGTTGTTTCAAAAGATGGAAAACTCTAAGAGTTTGTATTGATTTTTAAAGGAAGGCCTCAGCAACAGAGCATGTGTTTCTTTGCAAATGTAATGGGGCAACACAACCAACTGCAGTTTAAAACACTGCGTCCTTCGGAATAGATGCAGTTCTGATGGAGTTTGGAAGCGGATAAACAGATGATCTGAATGCAGAGAACTTGTTACATTTGAATGAAAGATCTTTCAATCAAACAGCAGATGCGGGGAAAATTGGGAAGGTGTTTTTTACTATCATTTTCTTGCTGTATAGGGCTGATTTTAAGGGGGAAAAATACTGGTTGTTCAATAAACATCTATTCCTTTTCCAGCCATCTCGGTGCTGTTATGAATTTGAAGCCAGGTCTTTGGCCCCCATTAGCAGAGTTTGACCTTTTTCCTATGATTGGTTTAAAATAAAATTATTCAAAACAGATTGAGCATCTGATTCACATCCATATCCAGGCAACATCCACTCCAAAGTGGGACTCGAAGTAAGGTGAACTTGAGTTAGAAAAGTTTCAGAGTAGCAGCCGTGTTAGTCTGTATCCGCAAAAAGAACAGGAGGACTTGTTGCATAATGCATCCGAAGAAGTGGGCTGTAGTCCACGAAAGCTTATGCTCTAATAAATGTGTTAGTCTCTAAGGTGCCACAAGTACTCCTGTTCTTTTTGAGTTAGAAAAGTAGCTCCTGGATACCTCTTCAGAGTTCATAGTTCTGACCTAGCAGAAAGCAACATAAGGCTATTTTTGGCTTGGTTCTTGTGCCTGGCAGATACTTTGTTCTGACAAAGTTCTTGAGATGTGATCCAAGTATGCTAAGCTCACATCAGGAGGTGAAAATTAGGGTATTTGACCAAAACACCAAAAATAAGATGCACCCTAACTTGTTTGAAAGTATCTTGCAAAATATTCCTCTTCCACTAGCATGGGAAAAAATTCTGTACCGTTGCAAGGGTATTCCCCTTCACGTTCAACTGTCAGATACATCTTCTAGACCTACCAAGTTTGCAGAGCTTGAAGCCAATGTTATTTTTTAAAATAATAATCTTTAGAAGAGAACATTGGTAAATTACAAGTTTGTGTGCAGTGGTTTCAAAGCGTGGAGGAAGGGGGAGAAAACAAAAATTGTGTTTGCGTACACATGCACACCAGTGAAGCCTGCCCTGGAGCCAAGAAGTGTTAAAAATCCTATAGAGCTAGTCAGGTGCCCTCCGCTCAGAGATCTGGATTCAAACATGCAAAATAGAATCAACCAGTCTCTGGAGTTTCTGCTCTGCTCTGTTACCGTTCATAACCAGTGGATGGGTTAAAACTCCCTGTCTATTTGTCCCTGTACCAATTCTTGGTCTCTACACATTTTGGGTGCTTCTAACATTTTTTTCACCCAATGATCAGGCACAAAAGAGATTTTAGAATCAGAAACAATGACTGTACTTGGTGCTGTCTGGGAGATTCAAGTGCAATGTCTGATTCTACTCACTGCAAAAACAGGATCTGGCCCGTAGTGTATTCATACTCCCGGAATTATTTTTTTCAGGAGCAAATCTCAATTCTATTTAGAATGGTGCTATTTCATAAGCCGGGGTCAGCCCACAGTTATTCTGTAGACAAAGAGGTATAGCCAGTCTGACCCTGCCACCCAAAAGTAGTCGGCCCTTAAAAGTAGTTACAGTATTTTTATTGCAGCACTGTCCGCCTTTGCTTTATACTTTCATTATGGAAACTTGTCATTATATTCTGTATGGCAAGCATGAAGAGGTAGTCATTTTCCGTGATTAATTAAAACATTAAAACATCAGTGTCCTTCAGGAAATCATACTGGAATCTGTAGTCTCCCCTTCACTTTACAATCCAAAGAAAGAGAAAAGTGCCACTGGTCCAACTTTCACTCCCATTGCTTTACATTTCATTCGTTCCAACGCTTAAATCAACTGACATTTTGCCCAGCAGCAGCATAAGGTTGTAAATTATTCTGATAAACTGGTGATTAGATAGATAGATAGATAGATAGATAGATAGATAGATAGATAGATAGATAGATAGATTAGATTAACCTTAATTGTTCATTAACAAAGCTCTTTAAAATCTAATAATTCAGCACAAATACCAAAGAATTCTTAGTTCAGGCTGCAAAATAAGCCATAATTCTGCCCCAAAGCCATCACCTACCAGCCACCACTCTCACTATTAAAACACGACAGAGACCCGTGTTCCTCCTGACAAAGGCTAATCAGAAAGTGGTCTAAAAAATTATTTTGCAAATGCCGGCTAACTAGCTACAGTACACAAGGAAACATCCCAGTGGTTATTGGATTCTGAGTAAGGCAGACTGCTAACCCGAACAGAGGAGGATGTGATGGGCCACTCCTACACAAGATCATTCCGGCAGCCACCAACCTCTTTCAGCCACAATTTAAAGCACCCACTGTTCTCCTGGCATCTCTGTAAGTGCCACAAGGGCCTCGGACAACTCTGGCAGCGTGGCAACAGCTGTTTCCAATGTTAACCCTGACGTGCATCCACATGGGTTGCCTGTCACAATGCATGTAAGAATCCTGGAGGGATTTAATTCTCCCCTCTGTCATTCTCTAAACTAAAGTGATATTTATTCTTTTGTGTCAATAAAAAGTATCGTGAACAATTATTTATTGTTTGTTAAGTGACAACAATGTGTTTGGAAAGACAATGTGTTTGGAAAGGTTCCTGCCCCAATCTGAATGAGATACATTAGCTAAAATGCTAACATCTTGCACCAACAGATGAAAACATTCTGCACTGACCAAGGGTAACACTGACCTTCCAGATTTACATCTGTTCAGAGCATGTTTCCAGGCTCTCGCTCCTTTTATTTTAGTAAGTGGAAATAAAAATGTGTCAATGTTTTGACGTTGATGAAATTGTCTTACGCACATGAACACGAACAGTGCGCTCTTATTTAAGAAATCATTCCATGGCTTCTGAGTGGGCAAAATGATTACATAGTTTTAAAAAATTCATTACACCCCCAGATTTTCCAGTTGAAAGTTGCCTACCAAATGGAGGAAGCAGTGAGGAATCTAGGAAGTACAGACTTATCTGGCATCTGCTTTTGTGCCATGGAATAGTCATGAAAAGTTTTGCATACAGCAAAATTCAGAGGGATTTTTGCACTAGCTTCCTGGTGTATATTTGTAAAGGGTTGCAGTGTATCCCCACGCCTTTCTACTTTGCCCCACAACACACACACACACACACACACTCCAAATGGCTGAGCATAAGCAGTCACAGAAAGGCTTTCACTCTGCAGCACATCATTTGAAAAGGCGAACATTTCTCCCAGCAGAAATGCAGGGAGCCAGCATTTCCCTGGGTTTCCTATCCTATCAAGGAAGAACTTTTTGTTCGAATGAAGCCTCTGTTCTGACCCAGCAGAGAGGTCCCAGGGCTGTGTTGGTGACATCATGGCCAGCAACTATGCAAATAAATAGATGTCAGCAATTTCAGCATGACGACTTCATGGGAGGGGGGGGATCAGAGTCTGGGGTAGAGAGGAGAGACACAATGGACTTTAGAAATTATTGAACTTCATAAGGAAAACATGAAGGTGAATTTGCCATCCTCCTTTCTCCCTCTCCTCCTCCCCGCTCATTTCAGTATACTACAACTGACTTACATGTAAATGCAGAAGCCGGCTCTCAGCAAACACATCTGATTCATGTCAATATGGCTATGGTAAACATTTGTAGGGTTTGAGAGAAAAATCTTTATTTAATGTCTTCTGTGGACATTAGTCCCGTTGCTATTAAACTGACCGTCTCTTTCCCTCTCTGCTAAGTAGCTTAGAAGGAGGGTTTCCTGAAATAACTAAATAACCTGAATTAGCACAAGAGGAGAAAAAAATCAAATGACGATTGTAATTCACATTCTTATTTGTCAAAAATCTTTCCTGAAGCCTGGGCTTGAATACTCCCTGTAAAATAAGATTAAAATCTAAAACACACTATCCTGTTGTATAAAACAGGAGTTCAATAAAAACCATTCTACTCTTAAAAAGTGAATCTGATTGATCAGATTGTCCATATGTCTAACTATTCTGTAGAACAGGGCTTTTTTCATAAAAAAAAGATGCAAACTATGAAACGGCACATGATATCTGTTTTACATTTTTCTTTTGTTTATTGTTCAAACTTGTTAAACCACTTTCTTTTGTTAAAATAGATTCTCTTGTCATGAAAAGGCAGAATTCTTTCAACAAATGGACTTTCAGAATGAAAAATGTTCTATCACATTTTTCATTAAGTCAATTATCCTCCAAAATCATGGGATTTTTTTTCTTTGCCCATCAATCAGCAGTAACAGCATGTAACAATCTGTTGTCACTCCCCCCCCCCCTTCTCCTCCAGGTACATTCGTTCAGATTTTTTGCTTTACCAGTTCCAGCTAAGAGAAGAACAATGTATTGGTTGAGCTTTCTTTGATATGTCTATACCAAATATTAAAAAATAGATGTGCTGTGCTAAATTTGTCTCCTGAAATAGCTAATCTGAGTCTTAAATTGGTAAGAGATTTTTTCCCCCAAAATTATCCATCTAAATATTAAGAATAGATTAACTATGTTCATCCCAAATGTTGATGCAAATCTCAGTATATCTTCCTATTTGGTCTCTGCTACATATTTAGTCCAGTCGTGTCTGTAACACTGTGAAATGTTTTTAAGTGTTGCAGACAATCATAAGAAAAAACAAATCCTCTTTCACCTCCCCTATTATTTCAGACAAAGGCTCTATAAATAAGACATACACTTACCTTTCAGCTCACCCAAAGATAGCTGTTTGCCAGAGGTTTCCAAGCAAAAACTCCCAGAGAAAGATAGCAAATACAGAAAGGGTCTAACAGGGAGTTTTTATTCAAATTGATTTCTTCAGAACTCCTTCCCCCTGTGCCTTTTTTTATTTTTTCACGCACAATTTCCAATTCCATTTAAAAAATAATAGTACATTTGCGAGGGGGCATTTTTTAAAAAGTGCAATCACCCAGTATGACAATGCTATCTATAGGAATTGTTTAACAGAACAAAGGCTGTGAACTGAAGCAGTTTCAATAAAGCCCTTAGGGGAAAACCCGACATCGGAGCTTGAATTGAATTCAGAATTAGGCACTGTCTATCTTATAAGGAAAACTTCAGCAAAAAACTGTGTCCCCCTACTTTGGCCCTAAAGGTTTTGATCACTTAGTTTACAGGGAAGCGTGTGGGGGGGAAGACCCTTAGGTTCAATTCTGAATCGCAGTCTTTAAAAAGCTTCTGCTCTGAAATTCAGTTCTCAGTTTAGTCTTTTTCCCCCCTTTCCTTTGAGGTATTATTAGCACAACTTGTATCTTATTCCCAACCTAGATAACCGTGTTATCATCCCTGACAATTCGTTTGCTGTATTGAAAAAGAAGGCTGCAATTAACAATGGAGGTGCTAAACATTTCACTACAAAGCGAAGGGGGAATGTTTGGATTTTTTTTTAATCTCAACCCACACGTTAAAAATCGCAGCCATTTATAAAGAAATATAAATGGCTGCGATTTTTAACGGGGGG